AAATAACTTTATCACATTACTAACTTGTATCTTGAATACCTCAAACTGAAAATTAGCTATGAAACAAAAATCCTGAACAGATAAATTCAGGCAATTATTTTCGTATTTAAACTCAACCAATCCCCAAAAAAATTACCAAGTGAAAGCCAGTCTCCTAGTATGAAACCTTCATGAAATTTAGGAAATTGTTTTTACAAAATGATGAAAAATTTGAATAATTAATCTATTAAAATCTATTAACATGTAACAAATATGTAAAAAAATTGTTTATCCGGACGAATATTATTATGAATCATAATCCATAATAGATAAAAATTTTAAATAATGAATGATCTGGTGTAACAATTTTGTGCATTATATCAAATTCAAATTTTGCTGCAAATTAACTTCGAACTTTCATATAGCAGAAGCTGATTTACTAATTAAATTTTAACTAGATTAAATAAGCAAGGTCCAAGTTAAAGGTTTAACATTCTTACACTTTCACTTGTGAATTACACTCAACAAAATCTAATAACCAATATTAATTGTCTACAAGACATCATGGAGAACATAAACATAAAACATATGTTCATCTATAAATTATAGTTAAGTATATACTAGCCAAAATTTCAAGAGATTTGCACAAAAATACAGATTTATTTCAAAGAAGTAACAGAAGTAAACAAAAAATATGGAGATATGTGGTTCACCATTACAAATTTTGTCCACAGGGTAAATTTAGGATTTAGGCAAAAAAAATTCAATTCTCTCATTGGGAACTTAAGTGAGTGTTTTTTTATACAGACTTGTAACCACCTTAATCAAATAAGGTTAACCTAAGTGGAGTTATATCAAGACTGAAGTAGCTTTTAACTACCCCCCTTGATTCAGGATTTAGAGAATAGAATCACTGAAAAATTCTTAAAAAATTCTGTAAAATACGAAATGAGTCTCATTATTAAAAAACTTTGCAAGAACAAAGCTGTATCAAAAATATGATAGAGAAAAATTATATAAAAAAATAAAAAATTGACTGATAATTTATATTTGTGCTCCTTATGAGAAATAAACAAACTAGCACAATTCTATTTAAAGAAAAAAACTCTCGACAAAAATAATTTTCATCAATTCATTAGTTAAATTGAATTTATCGTCCAATTTGACTTGCTCAAATTTCATGTCAGCACCTTTAGTTTTTTTTTTTGAATTACATACGATGTACATGTGCTTCATCTTTATATATATCATTTGATTTTTTACAAGATGTAATGTACACTTATAACCACAATAAAAATAATTTTGTAGTGTTTTTTTCCACCTTAGTAATAAATTTATTGAATCAAATTGAATTTTGTGCTTTCATTATTTATTTATCTTTTGTAACTGATTAACTTACAAAAATAAAATCTTGATTTAATACGTCAACCACATAATGTAAACACATATCAAATTCTATATTCACTTGTATATTCATTTTTTATTATCAACATCAATATAGATTTATAAAAAATCTAATATTTTCCAATAAATTATCAAATAGACAATCATAACAAATCTAATAATTTAAAGCTAACTAAAATTCCAATTAACAAAATTTTTTATTCAGCTTATTTGGATTTGACATGTACATTCTCATCTTGTTCAAATCTCAAGCAATATGAAATCTAGCGCACATAATCAAATACATGAACTTACTTATTGAATTGTCATAAAAAATAAAAACCTTTGTTTGTCTCAAAAGCATCGATTAGACTATGAGATCCAATATTTTAAAATTTTGTTGTAAGAAGATTCTAACTTTTTATAATTTTTTCAGTTGAATATCTCAAATTTGCATTGAACGTACTTGACTTAACTTGATCATAAAGTTATTACTCTATACATTTTGTTTTCTAATATTTTCTGTCATTTTTTCAAATCTTTATTCTGAATTAAAATTTTAATCTATTTTTGTATTTCCAACGTCAGATTTTTTTGGTGAAAATGAACATGTTGTCACATGAATTAATGATAATATTATTATAATAAGCACATATTATTGAACATGACACTCTCAACTAATATACTAACTAATACATTCAATACTTATTCAACAAACACACAAATTGTTTAACTGTCAAATATGGATAATTATCATATCATCAATCACGTCAATTATGTATAATCTACTAAATTGTAGCTATATCTTCATATAGGTTACAGTCTGTTTTAATTTTAATTACACATTTGCATTTTTAGAATAGATAATTTTATAGTAGTTCTTCGTAGTATCTTAGTAGTTCCTCTAGAGTGATCCGGCTCAGGCTGGTTGGCCTAACAAACACACGTGGTTGTGATTGGGAGCAGAACCATTATGTCGCCAGCGGGCATTGTGTAAGATAAAAGTTAATGTTTTAATAAAAGATTAAAATCTATAAGTTATAAAAATAAATTTTATTCGATTTTGGGTTGAAATATTTTTTTGTGATAAATTTATATTTTATCAAAAAATTTAATTGCAATTTATTAATTTAAGATCTATATATTTTAAAACTTTTATATAGTATTATGTTGATTTAGCTTGAATTTAATTTTTTGAATACAATTAAAAAAAATTATTAATAAAAGTCATAAAAATTGACCAAATGAATATGAAAATATTATTATTCATAAATTTTTTTCATTATTTACTTAAATCTAAAAAATTTATTTTGTGACTAGTTTGAATTTGAAACTTGTGTTACATTTTGAAAGTTATGAAGCATTTTTGAGTTATAATTACAAATTTTACATAATACAATTTTTTTTAAAGGTTAAATTTAGATGAAAATTTCACATTGCACTACATAAATTTTCAAGTAATTATTTTAAAAAACTCATTTTCAAAATCTACATCTACGCAAAATTGGATTGCCTAAAAAACTTTTTTATTTTTAATAGTGATAGTTTTTTGAATTAATAAAAAAAATTAAATTCTAAATTAAATGATATATCATATGAATAATTTTTGGTACGATTTTCGAAAAAAAAACGATAAAATTTTTGGTACAATTTTCCCACAACTTCTTTTTTTAAGCATTATGATGTGCTATTCATTGGATTATAAAGCTAAGATTATACTTTATTGAACTCATACAAGAAGTTTGTTGATGTTTAGATTTTAGATAATTTTCATTTATTACAATTATCATTATCATTTAGATTTGTTTAAAAAAACCAATTATATTGAAAAAAATTCAACATGTAGGATTAAAAAGTTGATTATATTAAGGTTTAGATGATCAAGTTGAATTTAAATATACATGAATTCATGTCAGATATATATGAAATGAAATAAAATAAATATATCTTCTTGAAATGTTTAGATTAAAAAATAGTTGAACACAACAAGAGTTGCCGATGAATGACAAAAACAAAAATAAAAAAATCTTATATCAAGATTATGCAATTGTTGGCTTATTCTATTAAAATTCATATTTTAATTAACCCAATATTTTTAATATTTCTTGAAGTAATCACTTTAATAAATACATCACTAAAAATGTATCTTACAATTTATGTGATTGTTGGCTTAATTTTAAAAAATGCTTATGTAATCAGGCACAATGTTTTTATTTTTTATCTGCAATAATCATTTAGAAAAATGCAATATTAAATTTGATTATAATTTCTCTTTGTGTAAAACATACATTTATTTATGAAACACATGTATTTAAAATTGAGACATGAAATGGATATGTCCTACTTAGCTCTCAATGATATGATTCATAGCTATAAGTGAAGCATTTTGATTGCCATTGAAAAAATTCATAAGCTCATGCATGAATTTCATATTTGTAAAACATTTTCCCAATCAAATTCACTCTTTTTTTTTTCTTTTTGTGCTATTATAAATTCAATTTGTACTCTTCATTTGGTTACAAAACTTACTTAATAAAATTTTTAAATCAATAATTAAAATTCAAAATTTCATCATATATTTGAAATAAATGCAGTAAATTTTTTAAGGATTATTGTGCATAATTTTTTAGTATCTTTAATATTTAATGAAAAAAATTGAAATTTTATAGTATTTTTTTTAAGAGCTTTGCTAAATTTCAAACAGAGCATAATATTTCAAAACTTAGATCTAATTTTAAATATTTGGCCTTCATCATCTGTCCACATTTTAATTGTTAATCAATGAATTCAATAAAATGTTATTTTTTGCTAAGATATCTTGATGCAAAATATTGAGCACTTTATTTCAAGATAAAATGCTCAATACTTTGCATCACAAGATTATAATAAAATCAAATTGATGATAAAGATGGATTGGACGTAGAAAGCAAATTCAACACATGAATTTCTTTTCACCTTGTTCAACTTTCCATCAACATTCTATATGTTCATCTTAAAATTATTCAAAGTATCAACATGATCCGTATCATTAGTTTTCATCATGAAGTTCATTAGATTCAAAGATATATAGAGTTGATTTGATGTTTATTTTGATAATTGTCTTAAAAAAAATTCATCATTTTTTGAAAATATGAAGCTTTTTGTATTTATTTTTGCATTTTATTTTTTTAAACAAAAAATCGGTCTTTGACTTGAAAATTCTTCAAAATCATCACTTTCGAGCATAACTTCTACTCTAATTTTTTTTAAAACAATAAAAATTTCGTTTAAATCGGAAAAATAATTTTCTGGATTTTTAACCTTTGCTGTATTAGATATATTTCAAAATTTTATATATTTTTATTTTTTATATTAAATTCTAAAGATCCAAAGATTCAAACAATCTATATCTTTAAATGCTTTCAAATAGACGTAGACTTGTTTAGACAAGTCTAAGTGCATCAATAAGTTTTGTTTATACATATTCAATTCATTATTATACGTAGAGCAATTGCCTTGAATACCATGTATTATGTTGGTTGGTTGGTCACATGTATTCCCATGCCAAGTAATATAGCAACAAGTATTAAACCCGTTTCATGCGTGTGGTGTTGTATACATGAGTAAGTGTTCTAGATTTTTCTTCCAAAGTAACAGTTGGAGTTCAATCACTCAAGGTAATTGTTTTATTCACAAGGATCAGATCAAGAAAATTAGATCTGGCACGACATGCATGAGAAATGTTTTGTACCCGCAGTATATGCTCACCCAAACTCTGTACTGTACATCTGGCTAAATATTTTTTCATTTTCTGTAACTCTATTCTCCTCGAAGTGCATGGAAGGAGTCTGAATTTGCTTTCTTCTAGTTTCTTTTCATGGAAGTGCTTTAGATTCAGCCGCCGGAGCCTCCGGAGCTTCCTCAGCGGCCGGAGCCTTCTCAGCGTCCCTGATGGCTTGCATTTCGTTAATCATCACACCGGCCAGCTCGTCGTAGGCTTGTGACCAAGCGCCACATGTTGCCACTTTCTTCTCGGCAGGCCAGTCCTCTGGTAGCAGCGACTCGATGGTGGAGAGGAGAGCTGCTTTCACAACCTGCAGACAGTGTCCAAGGGAAGCAAAACGTGAATCGTAGAATTTCCAGTTTCTTCTGCCGCTTAGTCACGGAGGACCAATCCATCTTTATGGCTATCCTTGTCATCCGACGTCCTTTCTACAACGAATGCACGTGGGGGTTGTTAAAGAGAGGTGTCAGATCTCATCAGCAGAAAGCTTATTACATCCGATTGCGCTAGAAATAATCCGATGAAATTAGAGCAGGTATATTTTCCAAAGATGGACTAAGTTTGGCCTAATATTCGCCTTAATCATCTCGTCGAAGTGTCTACGTTGGGAGATGAGACACCGAACGATATCACTATTACTCGCGGATACATTGAACGTGCTTCGATATGCCGGTGCAGCTCCAGACGAGTTTCTCGCAGTGACGGCCCAGAGAATGTAAGCTGAATGAGTTAATTCTGTGAGCTGCATCAAGTATTTCAGACGACTGAATACTCTTCTCAGATTAAAAACCCACTACGATACTTCACCGAGGCATTGCGTTCGGCAACCGTGCAGATTGAAGGATGAATAGATCAAGAGACGACCCGATTCTTGAGAAGAAAGCCGTAAACGTGCAGCGGAGTTTCTTCCCGTGCTCATTGTGGCTAGTGTCTACGAGCATCAAGGTGAAGGTTACTAACTGGACACCGGATCTTATGACTGACGGAGGAGGGATTGCATGCCCATTTGCTGTTATCTCCCTGCATGGACTGTTTCATACTCTATTGCCCTTTGATTGCGGCCAAGCACAGGTCACAGAGAAGATCTGCATGTACTTACATCGAAGTGAGCAGCAATGACGCCGTAACCGACGTGCTTCTTTCCGAGCTCTTTCAACTTTGGATGTAGAGCATCGATAGCTCCTTTCTCCCCGAGCATACAAGCACTATCCCCAGTCTGTCCATGCCAGCCACGTGCATTACTGGATCCATGAGCTCTTGACAGGCATTAATGATATTCTAGCTTTTTCTGATATGGAGAGTGAGGAAAATGCCTGCAAGCCACTTACTCTGACTCTGTAATCTGTAAATACTATGTTCAGAAAAATATAAATGCATTGTTGAGCAAGAGCAGTGAAAGAGTTCGGGAAGAGCAATCATATGATAAAACTCCAGACGAATTTTATGAAAGGGAAGAGGAAGAGGAGCATTACAAGCCTGAAAACAGTAAGCGCATGAGCTTTCAGCTTTGGATTCTTGTCGAAAGGAATGTCCGAGTCTTTCAGAAAAGAGAAAAGAGCTTTTGCTCCGGGCGCAATTTCAAAAATTCTGCAGGTCAAGCAATTCATTGGTTTGAGACCTTGCTAACAATCAGCATGTGTTAAGTCATTGTTCTATTCCTGCTATATTCAGCAAACCGGAAAATTAGAAAACGAGCCTTGGCTTAGAGACGAATTGATTGCACTCACTTGGCAAAAAAAGTCACTGAATGTGTGGCCGAGTCTTTCTTCACCATTTGCCATGATTCTATCACCAACTGCGACTGCTCCTTCGTGAAAGTGCTTGCGGCCATTTTGCTGCCTGCACAATTTCCAGCACAATGCAGATTAAAAATAGCCGCCCGCTCCCATCAACCTTGCGTCCCTCATTATCTGACCAGCTTTTCTACGAACTCAAGTTGATACTCTCTAGACCTTGCCAGGACAAGTCGAAATCCGTGAAGCTGATATTTCGTAGTCTTTAGAATGCTCAGAAGTAAAGTACCTGAGAAGAGAAGTGTGTCCTCCGTAATCTATACAATTCGAAGTCGTGACAGTGATGCGTAGCGGGCTTGCTTTGTCCGGAGAGAGTCGGCCATCCGTTCCCAATTTATATCTGCCTCCAGGACCTCCAAAGCTCAATTTGAAGCTGCTCATTCGCTGTAGCTAATGACTGCTGGCTGCAGTTAGCACAAGCCGGTTTCGGACACACTCAGCACTGATATCTGGCGCGGCACGATCCTGGATAGTAAGAGCAGCGGCTTCTCCGAGAGCCAAAGGCCACGCTTGCAGTGGCTGACTCGAACTCAGACATATGAGTTTCCCCGCGTAGCACGGTGAATCTCATCATTCACGCCCTACGCCTGACCCTGTTGAACATGCACCAAAGCCAGTCGCCATCTCCTACGTCTCAAACCTCTCGACATGAATGCAGTGTCCACCTGATCCGGAATCAGCTCAGTTCCACAATGTGCGTCCGTCTTTCGACTTCCAAAATCCATAGACCTTAGATGCCAGATCCTCTTCCAGAAGAAAATCTCAACATAAATGCCCATTGGAAGGCCTATACCTCTAATCATTTTCGTGGGATTCTGGCTCTTGGACGCTTTGTCATCACAATGGGTAGCTTAAGCTACATTGAGGTCATTTGTAGTATATATTACGTATGACAAAACTCTGGAATTTCGGTGGCATGTGGAAGTGGATCACATTATTTAGTTGACAACTTGTTGTTGTAAGTTTAGGGTCCTTCACAACCCGCGCCTTGTTCCTGAATCTCGACAGTTTGACTACAATCCATCCACATCAGCTGTTGTTATACTTGGTGGAAGTGCAGAATTAAAAACAACAAGAGTATTGTTGGGATAAACTTTCAAATGATAGTCAAATTCTGACAGTGAGAATATGTCAAGATTGTGTACATTTACCTAAACAATACAAGATTCATTTCGTCATTTGAAATTTTATTTAAGGACAGAAAAGTAATATCGATTACATTGTTGCATTTGGTAAATTGAAGATACATAGAGAAAATACTAATATCTGTAAGTCTATTCAATCAAGGAAGAAAACATAAGATTAGATGTTGAATTTGTGTTTTGATATAGTAATGAGATAATCAAAGAAGTTACTTGATCACTCAATTCTTCTCGTATCATAATGAAGAATTTATCTCGTGGAGTAATAACTATTGTGGAAAAAGTTCAGTTAATTTGATTTATACAAAAGATGAAATCATTTGCAAATATCAATATTTTATATTATATGCAAATTGTACTGTTAATTTCCTTTTAAAATTGAATTGTACAAAAGATACATCAATTTTAAGAAAGTATAATTATTTAAACATGTATAAGAATAATACAAATAAAAACTCATTTGCATGACATTCAATATGTATAATAATTCTACAATATACAAGCAGTTATTTTAACCTAAAATGACTCATAAATCTAAATATGGGTAAGATTTTTTGAAAATCTAATTTGCTCGATAAATATTATTCTATTGATGATAAATATATCAACATAGATTATATTGCAATTTATTGATAATTATTATATAAAGTTTGTTTTTTGAGAATTTTTACATGATTTTTTGAAATTGATAAATGAATGAAAATTTGAAATTGATTGAATTTTAGTATTTGAAAGTTTTTGCTAATAATGTTTAGCATAACTTACAAACATGATGTAATTTGGATCATTTGCTTGTGATTTGAACAGATTTAACATGCATGTGCTAAATTTTCATCTTAACAAGTATAAAAGATCTAATGAATAAGTAAAAAGTACATTATATCATAATATTTGTTATATATTTGATTGATATTATTTAATTAGAATGTAATTATCTGATATGATTTGTTTTAAAATGAACTTATAATAATTGTCAATTTTGAATTGTGTTGAGACAATCAATGATAAGTTTTTACAAGAGATTTTTATCTCCTAATCTTTGAAACTGTTTAATATCTAAAATCATTCATTCATATTGAGTCATATTTTAACACAAGATTTAGTTATTATGTCTATAGCTTTGCTAGATATTGAAAACAGTTTAAATTATAAAATTCATAACATTTATAACTTTTTTTTATATTCAAAAGGTCAAATAAACAAATCAATGTGAAATATGAAATTTACATTCAATCTAACAAGATTTACTGAATACTAATGGTAAAATGAATTTGTCAAATCACAAACTTAGACATTCATAGCAAATCTAACATACTTTGTGATGAAAAATCACAAATCCTAGAATCAATAGGAATTTTATTAATGGATCACTATATAAGAAGCTAACATTTTTAGATTCGAATTACTAAATGATATCATGAAATTGACACACAAAATTTTTTATGAAAATTTTATATTTCTAAAAAAAAATTATAATATCTACTTAAAAAAATATAATTTATTAGTATATGCAACATTTTTTTAGTATTCTGCTCAATGTTCATTTAAGAGTTTGAATCATATTATAGATAAAAGCACAGGTGTAATAACTAAATGTTAATTGTTTAAAAACTAAAAACATAAAATCAAATCTTGTTATGTTTGTTTAATCTTATGATTTTAAGATTTACTTTGATCATTTTTTAACAATTTGCAAACATCAAACTTTATATGAAAAATTCATTGCATAGTTCAAATCATCATCTAATTATTGATTGTTTTAGAATTTTATTGATAATATTTTTGTTTAAATAAGACACGTAAGACTTATTGAAATTAAACAAATGAAAAGATTGAAAATGATAAATATTTTTTCATCATTTATCTTCTCTTATCTTATTGAAAAATAAATAAAAATCATCAATGTTATCTTATCTCTAAATTCTTTCATTTTGAAGTTTAAAAGCTTCAAAAAGCAACATAACCAATTTGTTTATTACTTTCAATAAAAGTGCTACTCAATAGCATTTTTATTGAATAATAAAAAATATAAAATCAAAAATTGTAAATGTATTATAACAACAATAAATGTTTTTCATTAAATGATAAATTTCATTTTTCTTGCAAAAAATATAATATCATCACAATTTAGCAACAACACAAGATATGCAACAAATTCATTACAAAACATCATATATAGATTTTGTTAGTGTTTTGAATAATTTTTTTTAAACCATTTTCATATTACTATAACATAGGGTTTTGATTTGGATACAATATGGAGTTTGATTTGACATTGAAATTTTATAATCAGTTGTTCAAGTGATATTTTCAATGTAATTGTTCATGAAAATTTTGTTCTCAATTTGTGCAAAATTTTAGATATAACATAATATAATATGTAACATATAAGTATCTATTTGGACGAAAGATAAATATTTTGATGTTCAATCCTTCATAAATTATCAACAATGTCTATACCTCATTTTATCATATAGAATTTACTATATTGCTTAAAACATCATTAAACAACACTTTTATTGATATCAATTTTATATTTTTTGACATTTTTTCTTGAAAAGAGTTCATTATTAGCTAAAAAATTTACTTTCATTTGCAAGGACTCATCACAAGTAGTTAATTTCAAAATAGATCATAGATCCAACAATCTTGGATGCATAAATTTTCCACATTTGTTCACTACCAAATAATAAATCTTCATTTTTTTTTGAAACCTATTGGAACAATGATCATGTTGTTTTATTACTACTTGACAGCGTGATCATGTTGATACATCAACCGTGATTACATGATATTAAGATGAAGGAATGTAACAAGGCCAAAATAAATGAATCAACTTGTTGGATGTAAAGTGTTTGGAATAAATTATTTCAAAGATGTTTTGCAAGTGGAGAAAAACATCTCCAAAGATGATTTTCTTAGTAGAAAATACTATTTAATAGATGCTCACACAACAACAATGATATGATGAAAGCATGAGATGATTACTTTTAAAAGCATAAAATTACAACTTGCACAACATGAGATGACAATATGAAAATGAGGTGGTGAAACAATAAACAATTATCAAATACATGTGTTTATGAATTGGAAATAAAACATTAGTACCATGAGGAGAAAAAACAAAAAAATCACAAATTCATAAGATGCAAATTTTTGACAAATCAAGTCTTGTTTTTTCAAAATTTGATGATTTATTTCAGAAGAAAAATATTAAAAGGTTCAAAATTTTAGCAGATGACATTATAAAAAAAATCAACTGCTTAGAAAAATTAGCATTTTGATTTAAAACTTACAGTGAAATTTATAATCAATGTTTGCATTTTTCAAAATTTTATTAACGTCATCAGATATTTGAAAAATTATTTCCAATAAAGAAAAGCCTGTGATATTTGCAAAGTATAGATATGAAGTCAATTAGATTAGTATTTTGAAGAAATTTGACTCTAAGAAAAAATTTAAGTTTCAACTTGAAGTTTAGATTGGAATCTCAACTTTATTCAAAAAAATCACAAATTTATATAAAGATTTAAAATTCAAATTGAATGTATGATATTTTGTCTAGAACTTTTTTAAAAAGATTTCAAAAAAACTGTTAGATATTTTATTTGATGATGATAATAATTGAGCATGATATTTTATTTTTATGAAGTTTAAGATTAGATAAAAATAATAAGTTGATATCAGATTGAATTATGCATAGAATTTTGTATTGTGAAAAAATAACTATTTGAAAAAATATCTTGTGTGAAATAATGTTGATATTCAAATAGCAAGAAAGTGAAATGAAAAAACAAAATAGATGATGCACATAAAAATTTCAAGAGAGCTCTATATGGCCAAAAAAATTTCTTATTCTCTAAAAATTCGAATTAATTTCAATCTGTTAAGAGCTTGCTTAAAAATAAAGTAAATCAATCAAAGTGATTCCAAATCCAAATAACTTAGCATTTTCAATTGCATTGCTTCTAGTTTTGACTAACATATCTCCAAGATTTTTGCATTATTGACAAAATAAAATTTGACATCATATATATTAAGATGTTATAAGAGTGATATTTGCAAACTAGATTCAATGTTCTTGCAATGTAATGTACTAGAAGATAAATACGCCTTTACGTAGTTTTGAATCCTTTGTTTTGGAATTCAGTAGTTTATGATTTCCATCTTGAAAATAGGTGTAACCATAAACTAATCA